CATGTGGTTCTTCTCCTTTGTTTTATTTATGTGGTGGATTACATTGATTGTTTTTCTAATGTTGAACCATCCTTGCATACCTGGTATGAAACCCACTTGGTCATGATGAATGATTTTCTTGATATGTTGTTGGAGTCTATTGGCTAGGATTTTGTTGAAGATTTTTGCATCTTGCTTCCAGAGTATTTTAAGACTCTAGAAGTGTTTAGAGATTGGGAAGTGAGGCTTATCCGAAGACAGCTGTCAATGTACATCCTTCTGTAGTGAAAAATAGGAGAAGAGCTTCTGTTTTGCCTTAAATCAAGTTAGAACCTTGGAAGTGGTAAGTGTCCTCTAGGATTTAACACATGTAGGGATTGATATTTCCAATACGAAAAGCTGTGGTTAGAATTCCATGTACTCACAGAGTAAAAACGGAAATGATGGGAGTAAGCTGCACATATACCAATGGTGAGGCTGAAGTGAACAGTTCCCTTGGGCCAAGTGTTGATTCTATGAAAAGCAGCCAGCCATTAACCATCTAGAAAAGAAATCCACCTACAGTGGTGTTATTAGGGAGGAGTAGGGGGTATGGACTGCAGCAGGTGACACTGTCAGAGGGGATGACACCAAAATGACTATATAATTTTTGTGCAGTGTTTTAGGAGAAATGTATTATTTTTTTATAAAAATATTCCTGTAATTTAGTTATCACAACAAAAACATTTTTTTTTTTTTTTTGTGAACCCATCTTACATGTAGCAATATAAGTAAAGCTAAGGTTTACAAAGCTAAAGCTCTATGTTAATTTACTTTCTGAACCTTCTAATGTGCTCTGGTCAAAACTGTCATTATTACCCAATTACAATGACTCTTCAAATCACATGGTTTCATCTTCATGTGCTACATCTTGTCTTGTTTCTGTTGTTGCCCATTTTTTTAAAAAATATACTTTATTGAAATATAATTTGGGTACGGTGAAATACACAAAACTAAAGCGACATGAGTCAAATTTTTTTTTTTTTTTTTCAGTGTTCCCTCCCCTCCCCTTCCACCCCTGGTAACCAACAAAGAAAGTTTCCTTCCTTATATAAACTTTTCCTTGACTTTTTACAATAATGAACTAATACTCTGTTTGTGCTTCTGTGATTGACTTATTTCAATCAGGATAATGTCCTCCAAGTTCATATATGTTATGCAGTGTTTTGCAGATTGTACATTATTCTTTAGGGTTGCATAGTATTCCCTTGTGTGTATGTACCACAGTTTGGTTATCCATCCCTCAACTGATGGACACCTAGGTTGTTTCCATCTTTTGGCTATTGTAAATAGTGCTGCAGTGAACATGGGTGTGCATATGTCTGTTCTTGTCCTGCCGCTCACTTCTTCAAGATATATACCTAGTAATGGGATTGCTGGGTCAAATGGTATTTCTAATTCCAGCTTTTTAAGGAATCACCATATTGCTTTCCACAGTGGTTGTATCATTTGACAGGCCTACCAGCAGTGTATGAGAGTCCCAATCTCTCCACAGCCTTGCCAACATTTGTTATTTTCTGTATTGTTGAAGTTTGCCATTAGTGCTGGGGTGAAATGGTATTTCATTGTTGTTTTGATTTACATCTCTCTGATTGTTGCCCATGTTTTATAGTTGCTGATTTTGTCACATTTTCTTGTGTTTAACTACAATAGTATGATAATTAGTATTTGTGAACCTCTATCAATAACTTTTTTGAGAAAGAAGTAGTAATTAAAGGAAAAGAAGGACAAAAATGTAATAAAACGGCTTCTACTCAGTTACTAATAATATTGTTAGTGTGGAAAGATTTTACAGAACTATCTTGTTAGTATTCCTATAATCTAAGAAATATTACATTTAAGCAATTTACAACTATATTTATCATATCTTCTTCTATAATAAACAATTCTAAGAAGTCTGTGTGGTCTAGTACAGGAGGAAGTCCATGGGGAATGTTGACATCATGAGTTACCACACTGGGTGACACCAACCCTCGTGATGCCACTGCCCATCTAAATGTGCTTCCTGCCACAGCCAAGTCAGCCAAAGAAGCTAGCTGTATGGAGCAGAGAATAGAAAACAGTGTATAGGGTGTATTGCGGGGGGAGAGGCAGTGACTTGTGAGCAGGATTACGTTCATCAGGCAACCACAGAGAGTTACTCCACAACAGAATTTCTGAAAAACCCACAGTAGCAGTTTAGGAGAAAACAAGAGCATCTGGAGTGTCAATGCACAAATTAAAACTGTCCAGGCTAGGGAAACCTTTTCTGCATGTTGATCTCTAGTCTGTTCACCTTCACTCGTTCCAGGAGGCTGGCTTTGGAGGTTAGAAAGGGCTACTATTGAAGGAAGGAGGTGCTCATGTGGGACCCATCACACTTATTAGCTGCCTCTCTAGCTTCCAAACCCCAAGCAGGTCCAAGCTTGGGGAGGGATATATGTTAAATTCGGTGAAAGTTGGGTATTGGATATTAGACTGATTTGGACTGTTCATTAGCCTAAATAGAGAGAATAATACTTATTACCTAAGATCGAATAAAACATCTAAAGGAATTGCCTATGATGTGAGAAAAAAATGCAGGGGCAGGAGTTGCCTGTAATGAGGGGAAAATAATGTTATTTTGCCACCTGATTATTGATAAATACACAGAAAAGTTGGAGGTACATGGTGGGAAAATTCATAACAGGGTAAAATTAAAAGCATGATTATGCAGATATTAATGATTTGCCTTTCCAGACCTGCTGCCTACCAGCTATATCTTACTCTCTTCCCTAAAAACACAAAGCTATTGGGGTAACTTTGCCTTCTGGCTTCCACTTGTCTTTGGTCACTTGGCAAATAGCAGGAGATCAGATGAACAAGGAAATAGTAGTTAGGGCTGCTGGACCTGGGCTCCTGCTTATAAGTGTCTTCTGCCTGTTTTCCTCTCAGTGCTGTGTGTTCTGTGCAGCTCTTTCCTTTAGGTTTCTGCCATATCAGTAAAGTCTACAGGACAAAGACTAAAGGCTTTGGGTTTTTATTCTAGATTAGCTACAATTGCCATAGGAGCTCTGGTAGCCTAGTGCCTAAGGCACTTGACTGCTAACCTGAAGGCTAACAGTTTAAACCCACCAGCCACTCCTCAGAAGAAAGGTTGGACAATCTACTTCCGTAGTGATACTGCCTTGGAAATCCAAGGAGGGGTCACTATGAGTTGGGTCCCACTCGACAGCACATAACAACAACAACACAATTGCCAGAGATTTGGGATTTAGTTGCCAAAGTTTTAAACTATTTTCTCTCAACTTATAAAATTGTATTTCCAAAATTATGTTTCTCTTTTTATTATGGGATCAAGAGTGATATGAAAGTTCCAAAACTGAATACAGTGGTAGTGGTACACTTTTATAAATTTGCTAAAATTTATCAAATTTTGCACTTATAATAGATGAATTTTATGGTGTGTAGATTATACCTTAAAAAAATCTGATAAAAGAAATAAAGCTCTTTTTCTGCCCTGCCTCTTTGATTTTTGCCTTCATATACTAGAATGGTAATTGGAGAATATGATTTCTGTTTTAAATTCTACATTGAATCATTTTTTATTTTTTTCTATTTAGGACACACCTTTAGAATGTCAAAAATTTCTTAGTATTTTTTCCCTCTTCAAATAATATAATTAAATTATCAGCATGATTTGTGATCAATATTGTTTTTAAAAAATCAAAAAATTCAACTCACTGCCAATGAGTCAATCCTGACTCATAGTGACCTCTCCTTGGGGTTCCCAGGTGGTATCTCTATGGAAGTAAACTGCCAAATCTTCTTTCCAAGGAGTGGTTGGTGGGTTTGAACCTCCAGCCTTCTGGTTAGCAGTCAAATGCCTTAGGCAATGTTGTTTTAGGATCATGAAATATTTTAACTGTTAGGCAGTTACAAGTTACTATATTAAATAAAATATGCATGAATTAGGGAGTGTAATTCCAAATTCTCGAACAATTAGGCTAAAACAAAAGTCAGGTACACATCATCAATTACCCTAAAGGAGTATAATTTCAATTCCCTTGACTTTAGAATTATATCAGGAGACAATTTAAAAAATACCAAATATGACATTGTTGTTGTTGTTGTTATTTGCCATCGAGTCGGTGACATTAGATAATATATATGGTAGAGAGTTGAAAATTTACATGTTACTGAGGTCATAGTAAATAAGCTTAAAATATATATATTTCCTTTGAGGTTTTCACCAATAGGACAATCTGTGAATGCTCGTATTACCCTGAGAAGAAAATTTGAGGACAATCTTTGATTAGCAGCAGACATATTACTTTTTCACACTATTAAATATCATTCCTTAGAAAACACCTACATATATATATATATATATATATATATATATATACACACACACACATTCACATCCATGAAGATGCCAGATGAAGAAAGATATATGACACTGAATGTACAATCAAAACAAAGAAGTTCCATTCAAACATCCCAACTTAAATTTAAAGGTATGGAATTCAGTTCCTCCCCCCCCAATTGCTGTAGATTAATGTATTAATTTCCAATTTTCTGTTCTGTTTCTGGACTTTCATTGCCTTTGTCTCCCTCTCTTTCTCTCCTTCTTCTTCTCCCTTTCCCCTTTCTTCTCTTCTTTCTCTTTTAGTAATGTTGTTGATGTTATGTGCCGTGGAGTCGGACCTGACTCATAGCGACCCCTCCTTGGGTTTCTGAGGCGGTATCACTATGGAAGTAGATTGCCCAACCTTCCTTCTGAGGAGTGACTGGTGGGTTTGAACCACCAGCCTTCTGGTTAGCAGCCAAGTGCCTTAGGCACTATGCTACCAGAGCTTCCTCTTTTAATAATAGTAATGATTATTTAAAAACGACCAACCCTATAACCACTTCAGTACATGTTTTCTTTTACTTAATCTTATAAAATTCCTATGAGATGGATTTTCTCTTTTTAGAATTTATCCTAATTATCATGCTGGACTAATGCTTATTTGCCTTAAGATAGTTTTTTTTTTCTGGTATAATTTCTTAAGCATATTCTCAGGAATCATGTAATTTCAATTCACATTAATAATTTAACATTAATGAATATTTGGTGCCAGTCATCTGCCTCCCTATCATTGATCAAAATGGCATTTATTTATTTATTTGTCATTTGGGTGAAAGTTTACAGAGCAAATTCATTTTCCACAGAGCAGTTCTTACACATTTTGTTTCATGACATTGATTGTCATCCCCATATTATAACTCTTCTCTTCCCATTTCCTTCCTCCTTGTGTTTACCTTTTTCCCTGTGTCCTGCTTTCCTGTGCATTTCTGCCTTCTGAACTATCTTCCTGTGTAAATATGGCGATTTTTCAATGCTATTTTTAAAGTCACCTTTTCAAAGCCTTTAAAACATGTTCTTCACCAAGTTGCCTCAAAATGAAGTTTGTACGTCACCAACCTATATTTAAATTTAACACCTAGAACATATCTTCATACATGGTGAAAATCCATCCTGTTACTTTTATGTGATGTGGTAAAAGGAAAAACAGCAATGAAAGACACAAATAAACAATCTCACTTGCAGGGAAGACTTTTCCTTTCTAAATATTTCTCCATGACCTCTGGATCTTTGTTGATGCAGTACTGTTCTGGTTACTTAGTGCTGCTCTGACAAGAATACACCGCAAATGGGATGGCCTTAACTAACAGGAGTTTATTCTACTACAGTTTGGAGGCTTTAAGTCTAAGTTCAAAGTGCCAGGCTTTAGGGGCTGGGTGAAAGCCCCACAGCCTTGGGCTTCAGCTCTGCCTCCAGCTCCCAGCTCACTGAAGCTAGAGGTTTTTCTTCAATCAAACAGCTGCTGACTGCTGAGTCTGCCAAGCCCAAGGTTGATAAGTGAAAAGGCACAGCCCCAATATTACCAAACCATACAGCAGGCCATTAATTCAAGGCCAATATAAGTTCCAAGGCCAGCAGAGCATGGCAGGCTGCTGAACAACGACACGGCTACATACAGGGTTCAAGGTGCTATAAGCTAGAGACTGTTCCCAAAGGTGCTACTTATATACAGAAAGCAGACGACATACCCAAAGGCAGCTACTCAGCTTCTTCTGGTAGCTCCCACCATGGAGTTGATTGCCAGTCTCATCACGGGGAATAACTACCACCAGCTGTCCAGCCATTCAACCAGGCTCAGCCAAGTTGACACATAAACTTAACTATGCCAAGTACCCTTAAGAATACACTTCCCTACTTCGTTATCTATGAAAATCCTGCTTAAATTGTGAGTCCTTCCTCAAGAGCCATCTACATCATTAAAGTCCTTTCATTTCCCTAGACAAATATTTGTTCTTACTATTGCCATCCTTTTAGTTGGACTTCTATTGTATCACTCTGATTTCTCTGAAAGTTACAAGCAAACCTGTTTATCAGAAATTTATTGCCACTGCCATGTGGATTTTTAGTTTACCACATGTTCACAACTCTTTTATTCACTTTTTATATTCATTTTTTTTTTTTTTTAGAAAATAGAGATATTAAGGCTGAGAGAATAGAAAACACAATGGCTCGTCTGCTTTTTCCACACTCAGTTTGTACATGTCATGCTGAAATCAAAATGGGTTTGGTGCAAAAAAAGAAAAATAAAGAGAGAGAGAGAGAGAGCTCAGGAAGTCACAGATGATAGATTCCAGCTCCCAGGTGTCTAAGTGATAGATGCTGATATTCATCTCTTATGTCCTTTGCTAATCCTTAGTAAAGTGTGGTGTGAATAAGACATATTTTCTGTGAATCTTATAGGCAGTTTAAGCCTTTTTGACTATGCATAGAGTTTTACTTAACTTTGTGATTGTGTAATTGTATTTCTTTTTTCATGTTGAATATGTCATATACTATATGTGTGTATGTAAGAAAAATCACTATAAAACAGCACTCTCAATAGTATCATTACTTAAAACAGATTAAAATGTGTTTGCAGTTCTTTTTTTCTCAGTCCATATCTCACTGGATATCCACAAATTACTATATTCCAGAACCACTTGAAATAATTCTTTTATCTATAGTGAAATTACTGACTCAATACCCAGTTAGATTCTTCACATCATTTTGCATTCTGTTATTATGGATCAAGTTATTTTTTAAAGTATGGATTAATTTATTTTATAATTATATAAAACATTTATGTTTTCAAAATCAAACCTATACAGCAAGGTACTTCCAAGAAAATTGAACTCCCTTCCTCCCTGTTGCCTGCCTTTCCCTGTAGGAAATCATTTTAATTAGCTTTGGACTTATTCTTTCATCTACATGTATTTAAAAATAAATAAAATGCACAGTCATGTATGAAGACATATCAATGTAGGTATATATATGTGTATATATCCTATTTGATTAGTTAAAATTTCACAGAACAAATGATATTTAGCATCTTTTATTACTTAGCAGTGAGTTCTGGAGATTCTTCTATAGCAGTTTATAAAGGTGTATCTCAGTCTGTTTTTACAGATGAATATTTCTGCATTATGTAGATGTGCCATAGTATCCAACTAGTTCCCCTGCTGATGGATATTATTATATTTGTATTCTTTTGCTATTATACATAATATGGCAATGAGTAGCTTTGCACGTATGATTTCTCATAATTTATTAATGTGTTATTGGGATAGATTCCTTAGAGGATTACTGGATGAAAAAGTAAAAGCCTCTTCAGTTTTTTTCTAGGTTTTTCAAATTGTCCCTCATAGCATTTGTATTTTCACCATTTTCAGAATAGCCACCTTGGCTATTCTTACTCATTTGATCTTGCAAATAAATTTATGATAAATTTTGAAGACTCACCCACCAAAAACAAAAACAAAAAATCCAAAAAATTGTGATGGTAGTGTATGCTACATAACTGCTTAATTTATCAGTTAATTTAGGGAGCATTTATACCTTTTTGTCACATAGTCTTCTTATCCAAGAACATGATTGAATTTGCATTTATTCAAATTTAAATCTTTATTTTTAGTTTTCCTCATATAAATTTTGAGACAGTTGTTAAGTTTATGTTGAGTTTCCTATGTTTTAATTTTGTTAACTATTCGTAAGTAATGCCTTCTCTTCATTTGTATTTTCTATAATATTTTATATTTTAGCTTGATAATTTTATAACTATTATTTTATTAATTATAGGTTTATAGTAATTTTCCAAATGTTTCTTTTGTTCTTTTTTCCCAAGTACATAGTCATGTTATCTTGAAATAATTGCTTTTACTGCTACGTTAGCTGATTGTGAGATCTCTGGTGGCATAGTGCCTAAGGCATTTGACTGCTAACCAGAAGACTGGGGGTTCAAACCCACCTGCCACTCCTCCGAAGGAAGGTTGGGCAATCTACTTCAATAGAGATACTGTCTTGGAAACCCAAGGAGGGGTAGCCATGAGTCAGAATTGACTGAGGTCAGTGAAATTTTTGGTTTTTTTTTTAGTTTTCATTTAATTGTATTGGATAATTTTTGTATTGGATCCAATTATATTGGATAATAAATACAATTTAAATAGCAATAAACATTTGGGATTTCTTTTTCTTGACTTTTTTTTTTTTTGAATGGGAGCTCTGGTGGCATAGTGCCTAAGGCCTCCAATGTTTTCAATTAATGTATCAGCTTCACTAGACTTATAAGTGTACCATGTTGAACAAGTATCCATCAATCTGTTTGAATTTGTTTTTTTCTTTTTAACATAAAGGTGTAGGATTGTTTTCAGTGTTATGTTTTGCATCAATCAAGATGATAGTACATTATTCCCTGAGCTTTATTAACATGATCTGTTACACTAACAGATTTCCTACTGCTTGGTAAACGCTGGAATTTCTGAAATAAACCCAACATAGTCATGATATCTTTTGGTTACTAGTAGTGTGTATTTAAGGTTTTTATATAGATATTCAGTTTTGTTTTTGTTTTATAATTTAATTTTTGGTGGCAAAAGATGTTGCATTTTAAACTTTATAAAATAGAGTTTATCACTTCCCAGCAGGAGAAAACACAGAATAATGAACATTCTCTCTTGTGTCTTTGAGCCTTAATATGCCTTCAGTTCATACTGTAAATTATGGCATAGTGCTATAGGAGTAATAAGAGTCTGAGTTGACTTTGAATTTAGACACATATTTGCTTCCAATGTTTTCTGAGAATTGTGTATTAGTCTAAATTTTTAAATAAATACATTTTTATGGATTTCTTAGAATTTATTTAATTTTTAGTATAAATATTTTTTTGTTCAAAAATAACCTGGGCAATTCAGGATATTCATTAATTCAATTTTGATTAATCTTATTTTATTATCCATAATTTTGTTGTTGCCATAATGAAAAATGGGGTCATAAAGGACTGTAGCTTTCAGTTATTAACTGGCCTTACCCAGTGGCAAGATCACAGGTTTTATTTACCTACCTAGCAAACTTTTACTTTATTTACTTACCTAGGATGAAAATGAATGGGGTGTTATTCATTGTGGGTTGACCTCCCTCACATACTGTGCTAGAGTGAATTGACACAGGAAATCTGTTCTACACACTCTCCTACCTGAATTTACGTATTAATAATTGTCTGTATTGATGGAACAATAAGGAAAACTCATAGTTACTGGTAGTGATTTCTCATCAATTATTAGAATCCACTTGCATACATTTTCTTTGGTAAGGACATAAAATATTTTGTAAAATGTAAATGTTCATTTATTCAGTGCGAGGTAATTATTTACATAATTCTGTAAGCTATTGCCCACTAGATCTGATTCTTCTTTACTAATGTTGAAAAAAATAAGAAAATATATATTTGAGACACTGTTAGGAGATTATGTACCTTCTATGTCACCGGTGTGTTTATTAATAATAATAATTAAGTGAACAATCTTATTTTGAACATAGCAGTGCAGATATTTGAAAAACAAAAGCAGTTTTCACTCTTAAGGAGTTTACCATCTAAAAAGAACCTGAAATGTCATTATTTCAGGCATTAGGGAGGATTCCAGGTTTTCGGTTTTTTTTTTTTTTTGTGACCCATGATACAAGGAGCCCTGGTAATGCAATGATTAAGCACTCAGCTGTTAACCAAAAAGTTGATGTTTTTTTTTTTTTAGATTAAAGTAGCAAGACACCTGAAGCCATTTTTAGTTCTGATTTGTATTACATCCTTTTAAATGAAATGAGTTTGAATCACTTGTAAATATTACATTAAAACAAATTATTAATTAGAAAATATATATTTGTGTTAATACATGGGTAACTGTTAGGTGCTTTACGTTGAAATTATTTTCGCAAATATTAAATATTAGAAGTTTCTTATGATTCAGTACAAGATGTATCAGAATTTCTGATCATCCAGAGTACTCTCATTATTAAGTAAAAAAAAATGCATGTCATGTATGTTTCTGTTTACTTAGCCTTTATCTTTGACTGCTTGTTGTTGTCGTTGTTGTTATATGCTGTCAGGTCCGCTTACTATCTGTTAAAAAATAAAGACTTTGTATCCTATCCTTAAAATTGTTATAACTTCTTGAAAATGTACTTTTTAAAGTAAATTCACATGTTTAATCTCTCATATTGTTCAGTAATCTTACATTGGTGTAAAAATTGATTGGGAATATCTGTAATGCTAAATTGTGTCCTGGCTTTGACTTTGATAACCCTGACTCTTTTAGGTAAGTTAGAAGATCTTAGTTAAACAAAATCATGAAAAAAGTTACTTTTCTCTTGTGACTCTTCATATTCATTCACTCATTCTTCATTATATTAACAAAAATTTGGGAACAAACTACAGTATCTTACAGCATCTCAACCTATATTTTATACTCCACTGTGACATATTTATTAGTCATATCAGAAGAAAATTTTATCCTCAAGTGGGTTACAGTCTAATAGTGGGGAAAACATGTGGGTGTGTAGGTGTGTTTAGATGTATAATGAAAACTAGAAATCAGATATATAGACTAAATACATGAAACACTTTGTGTATTACTGTGAGATGAAATTGATGATAAAGATGATGATGATGATGACAAAATTGTGTGCATGTGCATACATGAGCAGATATATTTGGAAACCGTCTTTCTGATTTTGTTAAATACTTGTGAATAGATAGAATGTCACTATTTTTCTGATGTATGTTTATATATTTTATCTATGGGTGTAGTCAGTTTACTCTTGCATATGTCCAACAGATATTAACAGAGCAACATTATTACAAATATCCTAAATTAAAAAAATAAAATAATAATCATGGTGAAGACTCTCATATTCTAACGGGATATACAGACATTAAACAAATAATTAGGGTACAGTGTGCTAAATATCATCTCAGAGGTTTCAACAAAACTTACGAAAACATGGACAGGGCATCTATACTTCTCAGAGCAGGAACTTTGCTTTACATCCTTCTGTATCACCAGTTCTCAGGTCAGTACCTGGCACACAGTAGACCCTTAAAAGATACGTACTTACCAAATGAATCAATCGTATACCATTTGAAATTATTTTCCAGTAACTGGATATGAAGGAAAAAAACCAACTTTATAGTTGTTGTTATGTTTTTCTGGCCGACATTATCAGAATCATCTCAAAGAATTTGTCTCTGAGACACTGCGTGGAGATCTTTATCCAATGTTTAATTTCAAGTTTCTCAGGGAGTATTGCTAAAATGCCAAAGAAAAAATCATTTGAATATCACTCATTAAGAGGAACTTAGAAACTTGACAGTGAACAGTGATGCAAGGAGAAACATGAGCAATAAGGACACAGACCATTGTGTTTCAAGACGTATAGGTTAAACAGGTATCTCTCCATGGTTTGATCCACACTAGTTTTAATCATATAGATTCTCTAAACCCTACTGAACAGATATGCAATGGGTATACCACATACCGAATTAAGTAATAAAGATTTAACATATGTCTACTTGGTACCCAAAATATGATTGATATACATTTTTTTTTTTTTTTTGCACTGGGAAATAAAGTTTTAAAAAAGAATGTAAGAAATAGTCTCTAAGCTCAGTCTCTGGACGTGAATCCACTGAGCCAGGTGCCAGCACAATAAAGTCCTTCCTCTTTCATCCAAAAAAAAAAAAAAGAAAGAAATAGTCTCCACACTCAGAATTTATACCAAGTTTACATATATATGAAAAGTTAGTTAGGATTATAAGGCAGTATGTAAATAACTATTTTGTTTATCTCTTATTATTTCCTGAAACAGAAAATGGAAAAAAAAGGAGTTATATCTAACAATTTATGATTTTAAGCTTAGGTTTTAATCTTAGAATTTCTTACTGTAAAGAATTTTTAAAAACATTTCCTTCGAGTTCCGGCAAGATGGCGGACTAGGCAGAAGGATTGCACAGACCCTCTTCAACAAAGAAAAGGGAAACCAATTAACACAGACACAGAAGATAATCTTGG